TGACTACGTACGGTGCGAAATAAGTTCAACATACATAGATAATAATACCACTTTAATAACAGCACCGAAATAATATGCATGGCGAGTTGGGTTCAGACATACTGCGTCGGTGACGCTGCTGATGCTGCTACTGCGTTGGCAGTGGCAGAGTTAACAACACAAACTCAACACGTTGCGTAAACAACAATGCGTGGCCTAAAAATTATTTTATATTATAGGCGACGTTTCCGCCACTGATCATTCTTCGCGATATCTTAATACAAAGGCATTCCTGTATAAGCGAGGGCATTATTTTTATTGTAGAGTATAGCCTATGGCCCTCTTCACGGCATGATAAAGGACCATTGTCCAAAAACGTCGCCTATTATATGTTTTAGGGCGGTGATTTTTTTTATTCGATGAAAGTAAATGACTGTTAATAAACACATACTCTAAAATGTTGTGCCGTGATAGACTCAGTATGCCCCATCCTGCTGATGTTCCAAACCACCCTATTTGCTGGCCAACGGAAAACATGCAAAAAATGGAAGTTTAAACAAATACATATCACTTCGAAAAAATCCCCGAGAAATTCTCAACATAGATCCAGAGGAATCTGACACCCCCCCATCCATACTTAGAGAACCCTGGCTCCACGTGTCTCCTCCACAACTCCAGAAGCACCTCGCTGACCTCGTCAAGGAGCATAAACCACCATCGCACAAACTCCGGTCATCCTCGCAGCAGCAGAGGATTGCTCGACCATACTTCACCACTGTGGTCAGTACTGGTTAGAGGCCCATCGAACAAAGCCGGTCACTGCATCGCGTGCTCTTAGATGCGCTTCCGCGGCCGTCTGGAACGCTCTTCCTTCCGATATTAGGAAGCCACTGGAGCTATGAAATTTTAAATAATCTGGATTGAAAAACTAATTTATTTAGAACTTATTTTTGGGGGGTTTAGTTTGTTGTCCTTCCCCCGCACCTCCGATTAGCAGGGTTGGCTACATACGGTGCGAAAGAAGTTCAATATGCATACGTACACATACACCTGCGGTCGAATCGGGGGCCACGGCTAACATCAGTAGCGAGTGATAGATATCGATCTGAACCGGTCCTCTACTGTCCACCTTCCCCCTCCACCTTAACCAACCCGCAATGACCAACGAGGTGAAGTATGGTCAAACATCCCCCCCCCCCAACCTAGCCAATTACCAACAGCATCCAGCAGTGAATGGACAAAGTGGGGGTATGAGAAATCAATTCATGTTATTATTGCCATTATATAAACACATAAGTACAACGTAGATACGTGCAGAGCAAAAGCGATGTTCTCAGTGAAGATGAAGCGACGTGAGCCGTGAGCTCCGAGTGGTTTGAGGAGCGAGACGGAGTTGTTTAACAAAGCCCATTGGGACACCGACACTGCTGATGATTACGACGACGACAGTGACGAGCGGTGCGAGTGCAGAACTGAAACGTCTTCTTTCTCGGCCCACCGTGCAAGGGGACATCATTCGGCTGCACGGACGAGGCTCAACACACGGGGTGCTCTCACTCGACTCCCTTCCCGCCGCCGCTCGTCTTGTTACCCGTGAGTCGTGCAGCAGTGCCCGCAGCTCTGGTGGACGATGTGAGCGCGTGAGTCTTCGTGGTGACCGTCGCCCCCGTTGACGTTGGGCGCGCACCGCGTGCGTTCGCGTGAGCGCAGAGGCATGGGAAGACGCATTTGCCACGGCCTCCGAAATGCGATGTTGTTGCCGCTATGATTTGCCTCTCGTAATAATAATAATAAAATGTTCAACAGATTTGCCCGTAGCGTTGTCCTAAAAAGGAGATTTACATAATAGACGACGTTTTGGGCAATCGCCCTTTTTCAGAATATCTATGTGCTCTGGACAAGGGCAGTATGTGCATGATATGAAGCACGGGCATGCTGTGAGGATGGGCCGTTACCCGAAACGTCGCCTATTTTTTTTTCTTTCAGGGCCATATAGTTATTGGCGAATGTGTTATGTGTGCTTTGGCACCGCTACTAACGCAGCAATAGCAGAAAATAGCTTGTTAATATTATTGTTTTAGTGGGTTATCTGTAAATTGTTGACCGGGTAAACTTTACAAGTATCGTATCATCCGGATTATTAGACGCTTTGGAAAGTAAGACGCAGCCAAAACTTGTGTCCGGTGTCAATAAAAGTTATGCAAACCTGGTCTCCCTTAATCACAACAACAGCCCCACCATTCGACGTCACCACGGCGCCTTGTGCCAGGCCAGGTGCACTTTGAGGCCACGTGAAGTGTCGATGGCTCGCTGGCGCGAGGTCACGGGATGGGCCCAGGTGGCACGGGTTCACTCCACTGCTCACTCGCGTGTACACTTACACAACCTACAGGAGTTTCAGACGCACCCGATAATTCAGGATGAAAAAAAGGTGCGTCTTATTGTAACGATCCAGAGAATACGGTAATGTGTGTACGTGCTAAACCGACGCTGGGTTTGACAGCCGGGCTGTTACTCGAGCGCGCACTCACACTCATTAATTTTCCATTACATTCCGAGCCCGTGTAACACCACCGCCCTCCTATTGTATATGATGAGGGCGTAATAGCGATGTTGAAATATATTTAATTGCCTTTTATATCCTTTGTCTCCCTTAAAAGCGTTTCCTTCACGTGCCCGAGCTGCTCGCACACGGCGCCGTTGTTTAAATGAACCGCGCGACGGCGCACGGAATTACGGGGCTCTGCCATGGAAATGTGGAATTTCCAACCCACGGAGGGATGTATGGATGGATGAATGAATCTGGGGGAGACAACGTTGGGATGTCTAACGCCCCCATCTGCGAGGGTGGAGCGGTGGTGCTTTGGTTAGCGCACCGAGCTACACGAAACGCGGCGTCCCCGAGTTCGATTCCAGACCACGGCCAGCATCAGCGGCGAGTGGTATCCCACCCTCCCCACTGGTGAAGTCTGGAACAAACGATCCCCCACGTGGCGAGACCATCCAGCAGTGGATCGACAAAGGACCGTGAATGAGTTTTATGGGTAGTCGTAATACAGTAAATACAACATTAATTTGCATATAAATGCATTTTGGATTACATTGTTAATTGTCATTGCTGCCAATTATCCGCTAATGAACCGTTAATGTCTGCTTGGCGTGCGTGTAATTATTAGGCGACGATTGTTCATGCAAGCGCCATTAGCGAGCACCTATTAAGGGCTTGCTGCGCATACATTGTACACTGGTACCGTGGGATACGCGTGCGCACACACGAGCACACGTCCGCACGCGTATAAGACAAAGATCCCCCGTGTAGCCTTAACAGACTGTTGGGACAAGTGCTGTCAGTAGCGAGCAGCACCAATGAAGGCCGGCACGGCACACGAGGGGATGGATTGGGTATCACCACGCCCGGCCGCATTCGTCTCCTCTGTTGCGATGTTTCCACCAGGTACTCATTTGAGGCTGAGTGGATCTAGGGGAAGCCCAGAACCGATTCAGATAATCGTCACCGGTGTTGGCCGTGAGCGGACATCGAACTCGGTTCGCCGGGGTTAGTCGCGCAATGCGCTAACTACTGCGCCACCGCTCACCCCCTCCAGCACACACACGTGAGCCATATGAAGTGGCAGTACCTGCAGACCGCTGTGTTTAGTATTTTTGATTACGCGACTATGTACGCGCGCGTATTTATGTAGGTATCTCGTATTTAAGTGTGCGTGTATGTGTGTATATATACGAGTATGCGAGTGTGTATGGGCTACAGGGGATCTAATGTGTGTATGTGTGCGCATGGGTGTGGTACTGGCCACCCACCCCCACGTGTGACCTGCCGGCCTTAATCTGTGCTCGCTAACTGCACTTGCACCAAAAGTATGGTACGAATATACGGGGGGGGGGGGGGGTCTGTGTGTGTGCTTGTGTCTACGTGCGTGTCTTTGTACAAACAAATATACAAATTCATATATGTACTGTGTATGTTACGTGTCAACGTATGTTTATGTTACGTATATGTGCATTCCTTAGCAATGTATGTACCCATCACGTGTGTGTGGTACGTGAGTATAATGATGCACATTAAAAACATAAACGTGCGTATGTGTGAGCTTACGCATGTACGTATCAGTGTACACATGTATCGGTGGATGATACATATTTGTGTATATGTATCATCGTGCACGCGTACATGCGCGTACGTTCGTATGTATCAACGCACGTGATGTGTATGTACGTAATATGAATGTGTGCTATGTACGTGCATACGTACGTATGTGTCAGTGTATTATATGTTATCCATGTTTAGTACAAATGTATGCATGTGGTATACGTGTGTGTGTGTACAGCATAAAATGAGTACCTGGTGCGGTGTGTAAAACATTGCCACTAGGGAGACAAAGGCGGCCGGGCGTGGTGCTGGTCACCCACCCCCACGTGTGCCGTGCCTGCCTTAATAGGTGCTCGCTAACGACACTTGCCCCAACAGTCCGCTAAAGGCTATACGGGGGATCTGTATCTGTCGTTCTGTACGCACACGTGTGTACTTTACATTGCCACGTAATTTTGCAATTTAGTTAAATTCCAATCTAGCAACACATTCATATAAATAAATAAACGCGCGCCGCTCGCGTTAGCGACACGTGCATTAGCATTCACTCATTCGGTCACTTGTATTCAGATATGTATTATTATTCTAATTGCGAATTATTATTATTACTTCTTGAAATTTCGTCGGTTCACGGGGCCGACCAATCTGGTGGGCCCTCTAACGAGGACCCGGGGCCTCTCCAATCGCCGTCCACCCCCTCCCCGCGAGCTCCCGGAGCAGCCCGAAGATCTTGCAGGGAGGGGTGGTGGTGGTTGGTGGTGGTGGGGGTGGTGGCCGGGATTCGTAACACAACAGAATGAATTGAAAGTAAAAGAGCTGCGCAAACTCGTGGGCTCCGGTGAGAGGTGTGCGAGAGGGAGCGAGCGATAGAGAGAGAGACATAGAGACACACACACACACGGGGAGAGAACGAGGACGAGAGATACACACACACAGACAGACACACACACAGACACACACACAGACACGCACACACACGCGCGCGCGCGCACGTTCACCACTGCGCAGGGCGCATCCAAGGGAAGAAAAAAAAACTTTGCGCGGTTCAAGAGTGCTCAGCAGAATGTAGCGATCGCAGTCATCATCGGCCGATACTGTCGACTGCGTGAGCATTGTTTTCGTCGTCTACTCGACCATCATCAACAGCATCGTCACCGACATCGTTAGAAGTAGCAGCAGCAGCAGCATCCACATCGTCTTCAACGTAAGTAGTCGTCATCAGCAGCAACACCCATCTGCTACTGTTAACTGCTTAATCATAGATTTGTCTTTTGGCTGTTACCTTCATCATCCTTATAATCATCAGCAGCAGCTACTGCTGCTTCCTCCTCTTCATCGTCAGCACATCATCAGCAGTACCCATCTGCTCCTGTTAACTGCGTAATCATAGTTTTGTCTTGAACCTTCATTACCATCAGCAACAGCAGCTACTCCCTACTCTTCATCATGAGTACCACCACCACCACCATCATCATCATCTCGTGATACTACTTTATCGTAATCCACACGTTCGTAATCATCATCATCATCACCACCATGCGTCGCGTGGCGTGTGCATCGTCGTGACGACGCCGACTATCGCGTTGATGAGAGCGGGCGATGTCTCCTGCTCCACGTGCACGCGCCTGGCGAACGGATCGCGCGCGTGGCGATGCGCGGAGATAGGCGAGCGCAGAGTGCGGGATTTTCTATCGATTAATCTCGCTCGTAAACAGTTGCCTGGAGATTACAGCATTCGTGTGTATATATAGTACTCGTTCACGTTTCGTTTTAATTCGTTGTGCGTGGTCGTTTTGTCTGTATGTTGAACTTCTTTCGCACCGTACCTACCCAACCGTGCTAATCGGAGTTGGGGGACAACAAACCAAACACAATCAGTTTCAAAGAAAAGAGTGTTCAATCGAGATGATTTAATAGTGCATTGCTCCGGTGGCTTCCTCATATCGGAAGGTAGATCGTTCCAGACGGCCGCAGAACGAACTCTTTAAAGTGAAACAAATGATGTGGTGCTGATGTTGCGTTGGGCACTGCCTGCGCACAAGTAGAGTCGACACAATTAACCCAACCTATCTGACAGTCACATACAATGGGCGACGGTTCGGGCAATAACCCTTATTCATAGAACGAACTCTTTTAAAGGGCTTAGAACAGAAGAGAACTCCGGTAAGTTGCATTTGTAACAACGGATCAAGCTGGGATTTTTAATTAATAATCATGTTCATAATCATCACGTGTTAATACTGCGCGTGTACGTGTGTGTTTGTGTTTAACTATAGATTTACAATTACGGTCTAGACCAGACCTTTGGAAGTCTATCGCGAGTCCGTGGTACGCGCACGGTGATTATCACCACCACTGCACGTCGCTGATTCGCTCAGCATCAGGGTCCCCGATACACACGGGGCCACGTGTTCGTTTGCGGCAGTCAACAAAGATATATATTAAAAATATACACATTTTGGGGAAATGTTAAACAGAAACGAATTATCACTCGCATACCAGAGGCGAACTTAGACGGTTAGAACGACGTAGGGGTGTGGGTGTGAGAGAAGTGTCAAGCTCGCAATCCCACATTTGTCGCGTGGAGTTCATTCACTCGGTTGGTTTACCGCGTGAATGTATGAAACGTGCGGGCAGTACAACTTATATCTGAGTTGGCTGTAGTAGGGAGCGCTAGGAAGTGAAACTTACGCGTTCAACATGCAACGTTAATATGTTTAACAAAGGAAAAGCATGGAGTAGTATGTAGGATTACTCTCACACGGCAGATCATTGAACACGCGAACACAAAGCTATTCTTCTTAGCCAAGTGTTGTTAGCGAGCACCCATTCATGCACACACATACACAGGGACATAAATCAATTCCATACATGTACAGGCATATTAAAGCTTACGTGAACATATTTTTTGTTATACATCGATACACACATACAGACAGTACTCTTGACACAAACACACACGAAGACAAAAATCTACCGTAGAGCCTGAACAGACTGTTGGGGCAAGTCCTCTTAGCAAGCACCTACACACGCACACACACAAAACAAAGATCCCCCGTATAGCCTTAACAGACTGTAGGGGCAAGTGCTGTTAGCGAGCACCTACACACACGCACAGAGCCATCGACCCCACAACTCACCTCTCGAGTCAAACGCCGCTCAGCCGGTGCCTCGGGATGGCAACGGGGACATCTCCCGCCAGTCAAACCCACACGGCGCATCTCTCGCCTCCTAGGTGCTGGACTATGGACGGCCGGCCTGACCTGCAAACTCCGGTGTCGGCCGCCGCAGCAGCAGCCGCGGCCGCCGCTGCCGGGCTGCCTTTGTCTCTCCTGAGCCGAGGCCCACCGCACAGCCTCCTGCTGAGAGCCGCCGACAAGTATCAGCGCACGCCCAAGTGCGCCAGGTGCCGCAACCACGGCGTCGTGTCGGCGCTGAAGGGCCACAAGCGCTACTGCCGCTGGAGGGACTGCCTGTGCGCCAAGTGCACGCTCATCGCCGAGCGCCAGCGGGTGATGGCCGCGCAGGTGGCGCTCCGGCGTCAGCAGGCGCAGGAGGAGAGCGAGGTGCGAGAGCTGCAGCTCTTCTATGGGCCCGCCGAGGGTCTGGCCATCGCGGCCGCGAACGGCATCCTGGCGCCGAGACCCGCGTACGAGCTGTTCGGGCAGCAGCAGCAACAGCAGCAGCAGCAGCAGGATGGAGGGGTGTTGGAGCCAGGTGAGTGTGCGGAGTTTGCAGGGAGCTGTGTTTCAGTTCCACTTTGGGAGTAGAGGCATTGCCGGCATAAGGCACTACAACGAGAGTACACGTCGCGCCTGTCTGTGATAGCGCTGTACGTTTTGTATTTAGATGTATAACATTGTACACGATATTCCTAGAAGCATATGTATGTTGAACTTCTTTCGCACCCTACGTAGCCAACTGTGCTAGTTGGAGGTACGGGGGGGGGGGGATAACAAACAAAACACGCAAAATCACGCTGGGTGTGACGCGTTGCGGACTTTAACGCGTTGCGATGCCATCGCTCTTGTGAAGTTGATCCGCGTCTCTAAAGTGAACAGCGGCAGTGCGCGCGAGACTCGCTCTGTCACTGGGAGTTGGGGTGGTGGTGGTGGTACAACGACTGTCAAGAAGACGACACAGCGTGAATGAAACTTCACCACAGAGTGCACCTTGCTTTTAGCTGCAGGGAAAAATCTTGACTTGAAGCTTTCGTGACTGCAGGAATCCATACTCCTTGGTTCTTTCAGTAAAGGCACGTAGGTAGAAAATTGAAACAAAATAAAAATAATAAATCACGACGTTTCGATGGCAACACAAGCGGTCGTCCTCGGGCATAACAATTAATCGAGCAGTGGAATTTTTCTACCTACGTGGCTTTACTGAAAGAATCCAAAGAGTTTAGCTGCAGGGAGTTGCCCTACAGCGACAATATCCCAAACGCCTGCAGAGACACGAACTCGGAAGCGCAATGCAATGAAAAAACAACGATTCCTTTGCAAATACGCAAGCCACGTTTGTGCCCTAAAGAGCAATCAACGGCCGGCTAACGGCGAAAGCCTTCCCGGCGTGAGCGCGAGTTGGACGGGGAACGCCGCGGGTCTCGCGTCACCCCACGCGTCTTCGTGGTGCTTCCCGAAGGCGTCGGTTACGGGTTGTGGCGGCGCGTTCGGGTTCGTCTGGGATCGATTGGTAGCTCGGTGGTTCGACTACCTCCTTGCAGGATGAGTTCGATTCCATGCCACGGCTAACATCAGTGGCCAGTGATATCTGAACTGGAGCTGCATTCACCTCCCCCCACCACCACCACTGCCCCCCACCAAAAACAACCTTGTGATGAACGTGGTGGAGAATAGTCAAACAACCCCTCCTGCCTATGACCGACACGGCGTAGAAGAGGAATTAATCCAGCAGTGGATTGAGATATTTTTTAAAATACATAAACAGGGAAGTGATGATGTACAAAAAAAGTGACTAAACGCATTCGTCAATAATACTGCGGCCTTAAACCAAATGTCTAAATTGGCGACGTTTTGGGCAATGGCCCTTCTTTGAAGCACAAACTGCAGCGATGCGACCGTGACGCCGTGACACGTGCCGCCTCCTGTGGCTGCCACTCCGTGGGTTGTCTCCACGGCGGAGCGTGACATCTTTGTGGCCACGCTGTCTCAGCCCAAGCCCGCACTCGCTTGACCAGTTTGAATAACACACCTAACCTGCTGGGTGTGTTCTCGAATCCACGCGCTCTTCATTCTGTCCCTCAATGTAGTTCCAAGTGCGCATAAACATCATGCGATTTGACCCCCCCCCCTCCCCCGCTGGCCCCCACCCTCTCTTTGCATTTAATTTCCGTAAAATTATACAGTTTTCAAAATATCCTGGGGAAAGTGTGAGTGGAGTGCTGGGATACAGAGTGGAATTCGACGTGATGAGATAATATATATTTATACAGTGATAGAATGTCTTACATGGAGGGCGTTATGGTGGGAAATCCAGGTCAGATCGCTTCACGTTTAACCCGTGAAAAACACGACGCACAGATTGAAAACTTTCCGCAATTTGCCGCACGATTGCGAGATTGTTTCTCGTGATCAAGTTGCTCCGCCAAAGCACTCGTTCCCTGTTGTTGCTCTGCGTCTCTCTCGCCACGAGTGGGATGAGACGGTGGGACTAGTTTATTGTCATCCCAATAAATGTGATTACATTTAATTGAGATGACATGCGATAGACAGTATTAATCTTTCGTTCGGTAAGAGCCACTGATTGACAAAAATATGGGACTCTTAATCGAGGGTTTATATATGACAACCGTATCAAAAGGTGTAATGGCATGACGATGTTCTTTTTTAAATATATGATAATCAAAATATAAGATTGATATGGGGTGAGATGGGATAGATAATATTGGATGGAAGCGAGATGGATTTAGGCCAGATGGGATGTGACAGATGACATGATGCTGATGGGATAAAAACAGATGTAGTGACGTGAGATGATGCTGATGGAGACAATGATGACGATGGGATAATTGAGATGAAGTTGGAATACGTTGTGATGATGTACGGTGCAATAAAATGAGATGCAATGGAAAGAGGTGAGATAACTGAGAGTGATGACGGTGATGATGGGTATAATTAGATGCCCCAGCGTGAGATGATGATGATGACAATGGTGATTACTGATTGAGATGGTATCGATGGAGTGACGGTGAGATGGAGCGAAATTAGATGTGATTGGATGGGTAATGATGGACGTGAGATTATGATGATGGTGGTGATGATGGCATGAGACGGGGATGGGAGGTGATGGAGATGCGATGGTGATGATGGCATGAGACGGGGATGGGAGGTGATGGAGATGCGATGGTGATGATGGCATGAGACGGGGATGGGAGGTGATGGAGATGCGATGGTGATGATGGGATGAGACGGGGATGGGAGGTGATGGAGATGCGATGGTGATGATGGCATGAGACGGGGATGGGAGGTGATGGGGACGCGTGTAATCCCACCTGGCTCTCGCGCTCCCGTGATCTCGGGACCGTCACGTGTCACGCGTCACGCGTGACCCACGGAGAGTTGCGGCATCGCCAGATATCACATCACAAAAACGGCTTCGCACCGACGCGCACAGACGTGACTCGACATGCAACAACAACAACGTGGCATTGTTACGCGCTCACATGGACTGCCATGGGAGCGGCGGCGCAGTGGTTAGCGCCCTGCGCTACGATCCTAGGACCCCCCCCCCCCCGCGGCGAATGCGGGGTTCGACTCCCGCTCGCGGTCAACGTCGGTGACGAATATTTGGATCATTCCTGGCCTTCCCCTAAGTAGACTCAGCCTTAAAATTAACACCTGGTGCGGTGTGTATATATAAATATGTCTCCCCAGTGTGTATATATACACACACTGGGGAGACAAAGGCGGCCGGGCGTGGTGGTGCTGGCCACCCACCCCCTCGTGTGCCGTGCCGGCATTAATAGGTGCTATTCGCAAATAGCACTTGCCCCAACAGTCCGGTAAGGCTACACGGGGGATCGTTGTCGTTGTGGTCTCCGATGAACCAACAATGAAAAAGCACACCAATGTGGTTAATTTAAAGTCCTCTGTCAACCTACTGCTGGATGGAGACTTTCCCTGGACGGAATCTGATGTGCTGCGTCGATGCAGTCCAATGCTCGATGAAGCGTGTATCTATTTGTATCTATTTGTTTATGTTTTTGCCTGTTTTTGCCTGTTTAAATACGTACGCAGATACACAAATACTAAACAGTGTTTAGTATTTGTGTATCTGCGTACGTATTTTTTTATTTGTGTAATACATTTGTGTAATCAGATTTCTGTATGTATATACATCAAATGCGTATACTAAACGACACGCAGTATTATTAAGCATTGATGTACTGTCTGTGACTTTGTGTTTTGTTACATTATCCGTGGATTTATGTATGGTCGATGTGTTTCTGCACCAAATTTACAGTACATGCAGGTAAGACATTTATTATAATTATCATAATCATATGAAATGCTATGTATTTACGCGTGCATGTACGTATGGTGTGTGGTTAGTTGTTAGCGGTAGGGCAGTGGTTCGCCGTTTGGTAGTGGTTAGGGGTAAGGTTAGCGATAGGGTAGTGGTGTGAGTAACGTTATTACTCGTTTAAATGGGTCCTTTCGAAACATATACATTTTATTATTCTAGTAATAATTACTTAAGTCATTGTACACGTTTCAGCACTTACAGACACCCCACTAAAATAACACTAAAGCGATAAAAATTTACTTTCGTTAAACCACATTTTTATTTCTAGATTTTAAGCTTCCGTGACTGCAAGGATTCATACTCTATGTTTTTTTCGAAAAAGTCACGTAGGTAAAAAATATAATAAATAAATGAAAACAACTAAATTAAATCACGACGTTTCGGGCGCAACACAAGCGTCCTTCTTCAGCGGTTGTGCTTTCGTCTCCCCAACGACCTCAGTAAACTTTGTTCAATCTCCAATCCCTCTCCTCTGAAAGATACGAAGCCATTGCGAACACACCGTTCAATCAGCCGTTGAACAGAAAGTCAGACTGATCAGACATCAGCGGGGTGTCTGTAAAGGGATAACCATGTACACATGTGTGTACTGGTGCGTGCATGCAGGTTACGGGGGGGTTCGCTCCACTGCGTTTAGACCGATAACGACGATTTTTTTTTACCGTTCCTGGACCTTGCCTAGGTCGATTCAGCCTTAAATGAGTATAGTACTGTACCCTGGTGTGGATAAAGCATTGGCACTGGGAAGACAAATGCGGCCTTGAGTGGCGCTGGTAACACCACCCCCTCGTACGCCGTTCCGGCCTTCATATATATGTGCTTGCTAACAGCACTTGCCACAGCAGTCTGTTAAAGGCTATAAGGGGGATCTTTATATTTGACTCTGTATTTATTTATTATGCTATAATAACTCGTTGACATAGTATAGTGTAGCACGTTCAAGCTAGACATTTTAAAATCATTAAAGGCCATATGTATGACGGTATATTTTTCTACGTATGTACTGTATATTTACATGTGTGTGATGCATTAACTCGTATTAAATATAAGAAAATGCAGTTGAGATATATATTAAAACCACATAACGCATTATGTATATATCCAGCAGTGGATCGACAATGTACAAGATAATGATCATGTATAAATAGAATGTTTAAATACATTTAACTCTG